TGGCATGGAATTGACTAAGGTTTCACACAAATTAGTGATTTCGAAGATGAGGATTATTAGAAAGAAATACCTATTACTGTTAAAAATATTTTCATGCGATGATCAATTAATAATTTGTCGCAATATTTATTTAACTTGCTTAATGATTATTAAACAGCAATTGCTTTCATGTTCATCATTCTTCGATTTTTCGGATCCAAGGATGACTCGATTACAAATTATCTTGATCGCTCGATATCTCGATATATAATAATAATAATAATTTTTCTCTGCTTTTTAAAACTCATTACATTGGCGATTTAATTCTTTGACAACGATTTCACTTTGAAAATTAATTAATTAATTGAATAATAATTGTTTATGTTAAAAATAACTTTGTATTTTTTATCTTAAAGCTGTTTTTTAGAATTGCCATTTATTAAAATTATATTTTTCTTGAACATTTTTGTTATTTAACTTGCGTAAACTCATTTGGCAAAGTCACATCGTTATTAAAAAAGTAAAACCGCCAATGCAACTTGTACTTTAATATACTATTCTGACACGATCAGGTTAGGTTTTGAGCAAATTGGGTTCCTGTTAAGTTATCAAAGCGAAAGGTACCACTGGATGAAGCTTGAAAAGGTGCCTTGTGCCTTCCGAAAATTTTATTTTAATAATACCCATTATTGTGTTGGAATTTCAATTACTTCTGTTTTTCATTATTTTAATGTCAAAACTGACAAATTGTAAATGTGCTCGCTATGATTTCATATTTATTACAAATAATCTTTGAAATCTACCTGATCTATGAAAATGTAATGTTAGTTGCATCGAGAATTTGGTCAGGCTCATTATTCCTCCTGTATAGATATATCGATCATTTTAGCCAGTGGCGCTGCGAGATTTAACGAGGCATAACAAAATCAGGCAACATTATTTTGTAGTGGTAATAAAACTAAAATTATTTTATAAAAACAACCAAATTAAACATTCGTATTTTGTATACAACTATTTTCGATGTTGTCATAACTTCAGAACATTCACAAATTTTTACTTTTTTATTTTGTACATTGCGGCAAAACTGTACCTCAAACTTATAATGTTGTTAATTTTTATGCATGCATACAGAGCGATTCAGATAAGATAATGAGCCTGACAATCTGGCGATGCAACCCAAAAAACAAATTCTGTTTACGCCTTTGATCCACTTTAAATTAGGATTTCCAAGTTATCATTTTATGTCACTCTGACAACAGTGTATGACATTAGTGCCATTCTGTTGTCGCGGAATGATAGAGAAGTCAGAGAAGTCTTTTCGTTGTAAACCCAATACAAAATGTATGAAAGAATTAAATATTAAAGGTAGGCAAACAGTTTTTTTTTTTTAATAAATCATAAATTGCACTGTCAGAGCAACATGAGATAACTTGGATTGCAAATGCAAATCGTAATTAAAATTAGATCAAAACATAAATGAAATTTGTTTTTTGGGTTCCATCGCCAGAACGTCGGGCTCATTATCTTATCTGAATCATCCCTGTATGTAGTGTTCTCAAAAAATCGATTGGCGTCAAGAGAACTGCAAAATTCTTGATCGTTTAGAAGTTATAGTTAAATGAATGTTTTGGATATTTTTGACTTCATCAGCAGTTTTCTGAATAATTGTTTAACGCAGGACAATTTTCTTTTTTTATACATGTACATATAGAACTTATATATGTGTCTGTCGTAGGCTAATTACAAATTCAGTCGTTTCATAAAACGCCTAAGTAGTCACTTTGTAAACGACTGGGCAAATTATAAATAAGTAAATGAGTAAATGCAGAGTTTAATAAATGCGATGGAAAATTTTGGGCGTATTATAAAATGCCGAGTATTAGTCTAATTATAATACGACTGAAACAAACCTGCGTTATTTAAGCGTATTATAATACGCCTGTTGGCAATCAGTATTATTTAAATTGTTAGTTCGAACATTAAATTTAAATTATAAAGTATTTTACTGAGGAAAGCTTTAGCCAAGTTTTCTAAATTTGGTGGCTAAAAAAATGTTGTTGCAAACCAAGCAAGTTGTAATAGTATAGTATAACATGTACATATGTACTAGTAAAATACATTTAAGTCAAGAAAAGGTGAATAAAATAAAATATAAAGTAAAAGTAGCATGAAATATATAATAGAAATCTAAGAAATAGATAAAAACTTTTCATTATTTTGTAAATTTCAGCTAAGTGTATTGACAGTGGTTAATGTTTTAAACTATAGTTGTTTTACTGATTAATATTGTTATGAATACAATTTTGTTTATCCATGGCGGTTTTTGTTAAATAAACTTCTTTACTTTGGAAAACATAAAAAAATGTAAGATCAAAGTTGGCCGGGGTTTTTGAAATTATACAGACCCAAGATTTTAATTTCAATCAACTTGCTGATTTGCCAGAAAAACAGTTAGGACAATTAAGCCCATAGCACAGCGTCTTTTCTGAAATGACGTTTAAATGAGTGGCCAATTTTTTTTACAAAGGGAAACCTCCTCTAAACTCTACCTCTAGCTGCGTCACTGATTTTAGCCAGAAATTCGATAAGGTCCACCAGAATGAATGTTTACTTATAGTTTATACTATAGCTCAATAAGGCGTACGTGTTGAGGAGATCCGGGCGTCGGTAATTATTCAAATATTGGCCTAATTAAAACGTGAATGTTTATTGTTGTCTTGCTTGAGTAAATTTCCTGTGCTATCGTTTCCGGTCAGAAGAAGCCCGCTCGAAGGGCCCGAGTGGAGCTTTCGGACCTAGCGGGAAAATCAATAGGAATTCTCTCTGTGTTAAGCCGTCTCTCTCTTTTCCTCTTGTCCCAACTCTTGTGCCAAATATAGCCTAAAATGGTTTTTGGCGCGAAGTTTTCTCCATGACCGAGTAAAAATCCGGGCATAAATCAGCCGCTAATTAAATCGGAACGACTTGGAAGTTCTATTTATACGTCGAAATTGCAACAGAAACGTACGAGCGACACGCAACCACATGGAAATTAACATGAAAACATGGCTTGCTTACCTCACGTGACGGTAGATGAACTTGATCTTCCTTCTGAATTTTTTTGTTGGTGAAAAACACGCTATATACGGGACCGTTGAACCTCAAACCTGTTCCTTTGTATTCAATCGGTTGCGATAAACGAAATTAAGCCGATGAAATCTGAGAGATAAAGGATTTAGGATCGTGTCCTGAGGCTCTTGACTTTGTAAGTACGAGGTTAAGGAAATGGTTTTTTAAGGCTGTTTCGTGACGAGTTATTGACGATGATTAAGCTCGGCTCCGAATTAAAGCACTTTAAATCCAGGCTCCCTTGAAACGAGTAGATTATCTAGAATCCGGTAGGAGAAACTAGATGAAATTTTGAAATTTGCGATATGTCTCCGACAAAATGGAATTAGAGGCGTTTATCTGAGAAGGTAGCTAATTTCGGTAGCTGCAACTGTCACCCTGATGTTTTGTGCCCAGACGTGACCAAGGACTTAAGGCGATTTATATCAGCTCACTCTTTTTACATCCTTTTTTTATGGCAAAAGCAAATGTAAATTACTTCGGGGATTCTATCCGTTTGGCAAGATTACATATAGCGCTCTCTGTGTAATATCCTATATTGAAAAGTTTTGATAAAAGCTCTGAACGACGTAGACCAACACGCACGTTAGTCAACTTTGATGCTTTTGAGCAGGATTTCCTTCGAATATAATCAATCGTCAAGAGAAGTTGCCGCGGGAATGTATCGATATAACATGGAAAAATTTTTAATACTCTTGCAAAATTGACGTTTATGCATTTTCCTGCCTCTGCGTTTTCATTCCATTGGCTACAAAGAAATGAAATTGCTGATCCATTTTTTCTCGTTTGAAAACTATGACAGTGATTTAAATTACCGACAATTCGTGTTTTTATTTTGTCGTACAACATCAATTTAAAATCAAGTAACTTTCTACCAACAATAATCCGACCTGTAATCAACGGATAGTTGTTTTAGTGTCAGTTTTAGTTAAATAAAGAGCCGTTTATGACGCCATAGCATTTCTTTTTCTTGTTTTTGAGCATTAAGCTGGAATTTCATCGGCACCAAAGAGTCTTAAACGCGAGAATGTCCATCGATTAAATTCCTCTATTAAAAATGTCTGGCCATTGGAATTTTGCAGATATTGATTTATGGCATGCAGTCTTCCAAAGTTGATCAGCCGGTATTAAACGAAATTGGTTTCTTTCAGACGGAAGCACTCCGAGACGGAAAAAGCATCCAGAATAAATTACCTCATGTCAAGATTTTGAACTTGTTTTCCCGAATAAAAAAGAGGAACTATGACGCTTTAGTAAAAAATCTTTCAATTCGGCGTAATAATAAGTAATCGGGTAAAAGTTGAAAGACACGTTCTAAAATAAATCGATAACGAAAACTCCAACATCCAAATGAAAGTTAATAAAAACATGAAAGCTCAACTAACGACATCAGAAAACTGATCCAAAGCTCTCAATTAAAGCGAATGAAAGCAAGAAATTCTATTCGTCAAAGTCTCGCTTCACTTTAATCGCATAAAAGTTCAAAAGCTGCAATCGTTCTTCGTTAAATTCTAGGGCGAACAGAACAATATTAAGCTGGAAATGGAGCCGATGCACCCATAAATTTAGCACTTTGTATGTGCAGGAGTTCGAGGAACGCATCGTTTATCGTTAAGAAGCTCCGCAACTGCATCTTCCGCCATAGACTTTATTGTATATTTTAAGAGTCAGCCAGAGAAGTTTCAATGCTTTTTTATCAATCTGAAAGAAATTAAGTGACGAGATTTTTTGTGAATCGCGAGGTTTCTGCAAGAATAGCAACAATGGGAAAAACCGAAATTAAAACGAAAAATTAAAGTTAACTTTAAAGGCCTGAAAGGAACTTGACTGAAACATCCAGAAAGGAGTTGTGGGTTTGTTCGAGTGTGTAGTTACTAATTCACTTTATGCTAGCAACGGATTAAATCACTCACCGTTCATATTGAGTTCTGTTGCTGCTTTACTGTTGTCTCTGCTGTTCATTGCTGTATTGAATTCAGTAGTGGTTGTACCGTACGATACTGCTGATCCTGAACTTGTACTTCTTCGACCATTAATTTGTCCTACTGTAGTCAATTCACCATCGGATGGATGCAAGAAATGGTCTCCATATCTGTCTCTGTAGGAAGTCCTGTGTTGGTGGATTGAATTTAGGATGATATTTGAGGAAGTCCTGGATAAAGCTTTGCGCTGTCGGATAGCTTCTTTGTATATTCTGCAGTACATTGTTACCATCACTATCCCTGGTATCCAGAAACTTATTGAACTGCTGATTAGTGCGTAGTATTGATTAACAACAAATTTGCAAACATTGGGATTTGTTTTTCTGAAGTCGATATGGTCTTCCGTAGTGTACCACCCTAAGAAAATGGGTGTGAAACTGATCAACGCTGGTAAAGTCCAAACGTTGGCTAGCATAAACGAAACCGTCCGATGAGTCATGGTTATAGGATATTCCAGCGGTCTCACGATAGCGTAGTACCGATCCACACTAATGCAACACAGATGTAAAATCGAGGCGGTGGAGAAGTACACATCTAGGGAATTCCACACGTCACACATGAAATAACCGAACAGCCATTTGCCTCCCGTTAGTTCCACGCTAGCGTTGAAAGTCATCGCGCACAATGCTACTAACATATCGGCCATCGCCAAGCTCACTACGTAATAATTCGTGATCACTCTTAGTTTTCTGTGTCGATGGACGCTTATTATCACCAGAGCGTTGCCCAACACGGCACTGACGATTATCGTTCCGAAAATAAACCCTTTCACGATCAACAAGAGCAACTCCGACCAGTGGGGGTGAGGGTTGCCTACGGTGGCGACGTTTGTATCGTTTGATGTGCCGTTTTGGAGGACACTCGGGAGGTTTGTCGATGTTGCCGTCAATGTTGCTGAGAATGAAGCCATTGCGTTCACTATCATCGTTTCGTCCTTTCAGACACGACCGTTGTCAAACTCTAAATTCTGGCATGCTCCACTCCTGAAACATACAGAAATAACACAATTTTCCTTTGGAATTATATCAGACTTTTGGCATAACTATGCCTCGTTTCAAACGTTGATGAGGAAAATTTAACATTAACCATTTGGTGCTCGTAAATTACTTTCAGCTCGCACAATCCGGCCTTTAATGCGAACGAAAAATGAAAAATTCAATTACATTTAGTTGGAAATTAAACCGAGGCGGAGTGGAGTTGTTTAGTAACTTAACAACATGTCATTTAAGCATTTTCTCTTATCTCTAATGTTTTTCAACGAGTCGTCTGATCAATGTAACAAAACTCACTTTTCAGCAAAATTACGTTTCGCGTCTCTGAGACAAAATGTTAATTAAGATTTGATTTAATTGCTTTACGAATTCTGAAAATTTATTAGAGCATAATCTCGAGAAAATTTGAAGTAAACCAATCGCATTTTAAAAATTTATTATACAATGATTTTTAAATCGATTTGACAGTAGATAAATTTTAAATTAATAACGTAATACTACATCATTTTCGTTATTTTCATTGTTTTCAATGTTTCAGTTTTTCATTCGATACGGTTTGCTCTTCGTAAACGGGTTTTACCGACAAAGATGGGTCAATTTGTCCTCGAACTGCTTTAAAAATTAAAGCTCAGCTAACGTTGTTTTGTAATGATTTTTTAATTGTTTTATTTGTTTTGTTTAGGTGAAGGACGTGTTCTGGAAGTTTCAAGGTTTGGCATAAGGTAGGTCATTGCGTTTTTTTTATTATTTTAAAAATTATAAGCCGGATTTAGGAGAAGTTGTTAGACTGAAGAAAGTTTTTTATTTATAATTCTGGGACAAATAAGGACCGGAAAAGTATCAGGTTTTCGTTTTGTACCAGGAGTCATAAATTATGTTTCCGTCGAGTTAAAGTAATGCCGACATGTTTACATTAAGTAGATTACAAACATTTTTAATCGTCTGAAAGAAGTTATTTTTAAATATTATCACCGTGGCAAAGCTCGGTCTCGTTACTCTGCTAACTTTTAACAAGGCACAAAAGAGGCCATTAATTATAACATGAAATGATTACGTTCTTAATTAAATAAAATGTAAACCATTGAGTAAGTTTGTCGAGATGGGGTTGTAAGATTTTTCGAGTAAAATTCAAAAGAGACTAAATTTATTAGAGCAATTTGTTGAAGTCTGACCGAACTTTCTTCTGATTCCTGGCACTGGCCGAGCTTTTAAGCTCAAACCGCATGAATATTGATGCATTTGGCGATTAATTAGTTGATTGATCGAGGACTGTCCAGCCGGACTCGAAACTTGGGTCATTTAGTTTAATGCCGAAAGTTGATGCAATCTGTTTTGCATGTTTATTTTTGAAAGAGGGTCTCACGAAGTTTTAATGCGTCCGGAGAGGCCGTAGAATTTTTGCCAAGACAATTCGGTTTGATTAAATCGAGCACCGAGACCATGAATGTTTCATGAAAAAAAAACTTTGCTGTTACGACTAGTGGGAAACTTTAAATAGATGCCGAGAGCCGTTAAAGTGGGACAAAATGGGCATTGAGAGACGCTTGGAATCGATAGTCGAGTTTCGTGAAATTGCTGCATTGTCCGACTCAAACCAAAACAATTAATTTCCTCCGCATTATGTTGATGAGTAGGAATCTAGCAACGCTTTTATTGTGGCTTTTCTATGCGAAACTGAGAACGGCAGCGGTAAAACCAATTCTTTTTTCCATTAACACAACTAACAAAAATATTTCACCCTCTGATAGGGGAAACAATTTCAATACGTACCCAATTAAGTGCCGTGATCAAAACTGCTGCGTTTATCTCTTCACACACAGCTGGGCGCTTCACGCAGAAAGAGCGTCCTTTCTGGTAAATTTTATTTGGCGGCGTAATCTCCAATATCGGTTACGGTAAACATACGGTAAAACCCTCGTTACTTTAAATTGAAAATTTATCATTTTGCTTTCCGATAACTTATCGCTTTGTTTGAATGCAATCAGGAAAGGAGCAGAGGGAATTTTTCATGAGATTTGTGACAATGACGCAGGTCGACTAAACCATTAAATAATGAAACAGGAAAATCGGGTTATCTTTAGCTTTGGCGATACTGCCATTTCTCCTATATCAATCTTTCATGATCAGGGTGGCGATTTTTTTTTGACAAAGGCAGGATGTCTATTGATTTAGTTTTTATCAAGTTTTATGTCGCAATAACTGTTTCATTAACATTGCTCGACTGTGGAAAAACTCGCCTAAAATACGCATTCGGTTTTTTTCTCTAGCAATATTTTATCAATCGGGATGGATATCGAGGCGAAAACTTTTTGTTCGGACGTGAATTTTAACAAAGGGATGTTATTGATCCTCTTTTCACCTCGTGACCGTTTAGCTGAGACAAAGCCGTCGGAGCTGTATTTTTTGAATGTGTGTGTGTGGAAGTTGTGTACATGTTTTCACGACAATTTTGCTACACGTTTCGTGATGGCTTTTATTCGGTCCGGATAAAGGTTGCATTGTTTCAATCTGGCATTGTGTCGGTAGGCTTACAGTTTATAACACCTAAACCCCCGTAACAAAACATTATTTATCAGTTAATTGGGATGGCAGATCGGTTTTTGGGTCAAGCGAGATAAATATCCTCTCGACGGTTATTTCAAGGAGTTGTTTATCAATGAAATCATCCGAAAGACAGAAATAGACGGTCAATCGATTAGATTTTTTTATACCTGCAAGACGTGAGACTAAAATAAAATTGGAGCATCGGTGGCGGGTAATAAACTTGAGGGATTGAATTAAGGGGGAAATCCCGGCAAGAAATAAATAAATGGAAAATGTAACAAAGAAAATGAAATAGGTGGGCTTTGAAGAGCAAGCCGGCTCGAGCTTCGTCAGAAAGGATTCCAATTTAATTCAGAAAGTATCCCACTTATTGTTGCACTTATATAAAGGATAACGATTTTTTCTTTCTTAAGTTCGATCTAACCATTAACTCCGGAAACAATTTGCAGGACGCTGTCTTTTTATCCTTTGGAATTTACTTTGAGCGTGTTCATATTTGACTTAAGAGACGAAAACTTTATCGTTTATTAGCGTAAAAGTGGGCTTAACGTACGTAAAATATTGGATTTTCGATTTGGACGGAAGCCAATAAATTTATAAAGTATTAACGCGATACTATCGATTCGTCAAGTTGCAGATTCGCTCTTGACCGGAGAAGTGTCTCCAAATAATGTAAAAGCTTCATCAGGATGACTTGTTTTGACATGGTTCGATACAAATTTCAATAGATTTAGTACTTGGAATAACGCCGGTGGCGGTTAACGCAAATTAGGCATCGATTTGAAATAAGTATTATTCATGTTCGATTCAAATTTGTCAAGTTTTTTACCACAGGGTTATTTTCGGCGTACCGTATAATTTTGTCCTAGGGTATATTTGAATAATTTATATCCCAATGTTGGGACTACAAATTTTATTACACTAAATTAATTAATTTTGTTTAGAATTGATGAATAGTTTTGGGAAACATGCAAACTTTAAACGAAACATGTGCCACATTATAATTATGTGACTAATAATAATATTATAATATGTCGACAACGAAATTGCCTTAACTTAAAAACACGTTAATGTATTGGTGCTCGCAGTAAGAACTCTACTTGTAGAGGTAGATTTATTTGTATTCATATTATATTTTGTGATTTTATTGATCTTGTTTTCTTTTATCTGGCGTACAACCAACTAACTATCGAGAAATATAGGTGGTACATGGTTTCAAATAGTAACTGGAGACGAACAAGAAATACTATTTACGTCCATAACCGCATATTGGAATTTTCTAAACATACACAGAACGATAATTGTAAATTTTGTTAGTCTTTTTGTTTCTTCGAAATTGGTACTCGCTGAAGTGTATTTGTTTTTTCCTCACATATTCTAGAATCACAGGAAATCAAATTTAGAAGACATCATAAATAATACAGCGCATGTTTTAAGTGTAGCAATAAAGATTTACGTGCTGAAACCATAACCATAACCCATGTTAATTAAACGTTATGCTCGTATTCCTTTTTAAATTAACTATTGTACTTATTATTTTAAAAAACAATACCTACATATAAAGGTGGTTTAAAATTCATTTAAATGATAAATTTACTAAATACTAAATGGACTTATTTAACAAAATAATATGGTTAAAAAGGCAATTCTTTGACAATGCGTAATTTTTACTACATACTCAATATAGTAAGCTATTTTGTAATAATTTTTAAAAATTATTGTAATCTTTAAAATCAAAATTAACTTAGTAAGCTTTAGCACTAAACCGAGATATGCTACAATTTTATATGGTTTAAATAGTAAACTGATGTTCTTTCCTTGTTTCAACTTTCACATCATTGACATCTTACTATGGCCTGCGCTTTGCCAATACTTACGCGTATAAAAGCTGTTGTCAACATGGTTATGCAACCACCAATTTGCAATAGTGGCAGAATGCATTGAAACTTGTATGAAATACAATGGGAAAATTAGTTTTAATAGAATATTTACAATATTTCAATTTGTTTACATCAAGTACAATCATGAATCACTGTGATTGTAAGGTAGTATTATAATTAATTCATTATATAAACAAGAATACCGTTTGATAATGATATTATAATAAACTGCGTGCAACAAAAGCTTTTTGTGGTAGGATTATTATTGAATCCTCCTCTGGATCGTATCGCGAAAAAAAAAGTTCGATGTGGTCCTGACTTTGAATTTGTAGGTAAAAATGTACTTGTTTGAATATTTGTTGTTTTTAACATCATTAAATAAATTCCCAACACCACACATAGAGATTAGCAAACCAAGAAAACCCATTTTTCTCTCATTAGACCCATTAGTTGCCACCATTGAGTTTAATGTGTTGCCTACCATGTTGACAACAAAATTTTTAGCTCAATCGCAGTCCATTAGTAGGATGTCAATGTTTCACATATGTATGTCAAAAGTACTTACATAATAATATGTTAAAGTCCAATTAATATTTGAAATTCTGTACAATTTTGATTATCTTTTAGGTGATTGTACAAAGTAAACTTTGATATTTTGATACTAACGCATTGTTATAAATATTTGGCGCTATATTTTGTTTCCTCTGTTTTTTTATTTTTGCTGAAGGCATATTTTATATTTCATATTATTTTACATTATGAGTAACTTATTACTTTCTGAGATCTACTACTTATTGAGTTATTGAGTACAATATAGTAATTATTATATGACTAATATTACCGTTGAAAATTTTCCATTCTAGTTTTGAAGTTTATTAAAATTTACAAATATAACAAGGTTGAAAACTAACTGGCGGAGAACTTGAAGGAAATAAAAATGACTGTTATGCTACGTTTCGTCAATTAATTATAGACATCATCAGACTACAGAAAACTCATAAAAACATCGACATTTACATATGATTTTATCAGTTTTTTTCTAATGATCACTTTTTTTCTAATAGACGAAACGTTGCATAACAGTCGTTTTTATTTATTTCAAGTTCTCCTCCAATTAATTTTCAACCCTGTTACTTGAATCTGCTACGTTCCTATCTAAAATCAGAGGTTGCATTTTTATTTATTGCTTATAAACATCTTCGGTCTCTTTATTCTTGTATTTAAATTTTAGTTTTTTATGCTAGCTTTACTCTTTATTCTAAAATTTGAAATTTTACATAGAGGGACAATTAATTGCATTTGCCGATAAAATTAATTCTGTTTAAGCTTTTTATCAGTCACTAATCAATTGTTTTTAAATTTTAATTAAAATTTATAAAAAACAAAGAGTTTTCAATAAAGATTTTAATTATTTAAAGAGTGCACATAAAGTGCAGAGTGCATTAACAGTTGAAATTTTAATGTTAAATTTGATTAGCACGCACATCCATAATTAAAAAAGTTGTAAAGAAGAGGTCATCAACTCAACACTCACAATTTAGGTCTATAAATATCATAACAACTTAATTTATTCATAAAACGGACAAAGCTAATGAAAATCGATAATTTACTTAAATTTCCTTATCATAAATTTTCTTGTTTATTGTAATCTATTAATTTAGTAAAGTCAACTCACAAGTCGATTAAATATCACAGAAATTAATTTGATTGTGGCATTTACAGTAGGTATATTGCTGTGGTTTGTTTGGTTACATTAACATTCTATATGATGCCAGTTGAAAATAAAGTTCTGTAAATTAACAACGTTAATTCCATGCACATTGAAAAAATAAATTTTTGTTTTAATTAACAATCTCGATTGTGTGTGGTCAGTTCTATTTTGTTTCAAGGATACGCTTCTGCACGTTAATAAAACAATGATGATGTAGCAGTGACGTCTCTAATGACGCGCCCACCTACAACCATCACTGCATAAGTTATGATGATGTCGTGCCACACGCTTTCCTACAAAAAAATCTTGACCTAAACGCTATTAAAATTTAATATTTTCTAAACCCGCTCGAAATATCGATGAAACGATTAACAGATTGAAATGATTCGAACATCTTGGATCCTTCAGACAAAGACAGAAATGAAGCACGTACATACATCTGGTAACGACGTTAACGTCTATTCGAACAGTCTTTTTTTATTTATGTTTGGGACGTATATAATAACATGAAGGCACGTCGCCGTCGAGCAAGAACTCTCCGGTTGAATGAAATTAATGGGGCCTAGGGGATGTTGCGTTTTTATTTATTATTGTTATTCTTCTTGTAAGATTGTCGGCGTACATAGATTTTTTTCTGCATTGTTTGAGGACTTTCGTCGCGGTTAATTAGGTCCAGTTGGCGGCTTAAAAGCCGAAGCGAGACAGCAAAATTATAATTAACTTCGCGACAATGCTTTAACGAATTTGTATTGTTGTCAAAACAGTCATCTTGGGAGAAGCAGAGGCGTGGCGGACGCTTTACTACTTGGATGTTTTAGGTGGAAGCGAAGAGGCGTCTTTGTTGCATCTGCTACATGTTAACACAACTTTGTTAAGCAAATCAGGAATGCGCTGTTGTTAGCATTTTATGTAAGAAGAGTTTCAAGATATTGAAATTTTAACATTGTTTTTTTGCTAAGGTAATTCCTCCTCAGGGATGTAAAACATTCCAAAACAACTCAAATTTAACCTTTGTTTATTTTTATTTTGATAAGAGTTTTACGACTGTGGTCATATGCTGATGCAAAGGAGAATATTTTACGTTTTAACTAATGCAGTCTTTTACAATTTTGGCGGTGTTTTTCTTAAATGGGGCATTTTTTTGGCAGTTTATGAAATGGGTTTCTTAAATAAGGTAGGGCTGTATGTTTTTATGGTTAATTTTCTCCCTGATGGCGTCCACTTATATGAGGATGTTCCATCCCCGCTGAGAGATTACCATTTGATAAAAATGAATCTGGGAAATACTAAAAAATTTCAATGGTGCGTCGAGATTTTTAATCAAAATTTCCCTTCGATTGCACCAGCTTTTGAAGTTGCATCATGCATAATAGGAAGTATTCTCAAAGAGCTTCTTAATGAAAAATTACAGGATCCGCTCTTTTTTCTTTATCGCTTTTAGTCTTGGAGCTATTTAATTTCCGCATTTTTGAAACGGAAACTACCGAAAATGACCTAGTTATTAGTGTTATTTTTTTGTTTATAAAAGGCTACTTACTCGTGTCAGCAGGATGCACTCGAGTCAAAAATAAGTTACGTAACTCCGACCAACAAGTCTTTCATTGAGTGGTTGTACGGACGACCGAGAAGCGCTAATCGCCAGACCTTGGCGTCCGTAGACAGACTGGATGGCGTCCCGGCGCTCACCCCCTAACGTCGAGACGCTTGCGCTATCTACAATACCATGGATTTCCATATCAAAACTCTTAAATTACAACGGGGCCAAACTTTGCAGATAATTCCAAGAGGGAGGAAATGAAAATCAACTCCACTGGTTAATATTAAATGTTAATTATCGTAGTAGTGAAACTATTAGTTTTATAAGGTGCCGGGGAGCTGGAAGGGGGTGATAGGATTCATTAGTCGACACTTCAGGTTTCAACTGAATACCTTCAAGATTACCATCGTCCCGAAGTTCCCAATTCTGTCTGATAAACACATAATATGATTAAGTTATTTTATGCCAAAGTTTTCCTCTCGTGTTAGCCTTTCAAGAATTATTTCAGGCCCTTCTTACACAAGTTCAGCTTTCAACACAAACTTTCAACGTCGCAATTAACCTAAACGGAGGTATTTACGGCAAAAAATACATCGTAATAATGTTAAAGCAGTGAGAATTGCGAAAATTTACTAGTAAGACTAAGAATAACGTTCATTAAATACGCTAAATTACAGTGTTCAGTGAATGTAAAACGAACGTCACTATTATTACAACTTTTTAACCACCCATGCTGATCGTTTTTTTGCCATTATTCGAATTTTTCTTTTTCCGAGAAAAGTAAGCTCGCTTGCTATTAATTTAAATGCAGAATCTCGTTTTGTAAAGCTTCCATTGTATGCCTTTGGAACGACGCTTTTTCAAAGATCAGGTGCTGAAACTGACCCATTATCCTCGTCGAACGTATCTTCTTATTCTTGAACAAATATAAATTTCGTTCCAGAAACGCAAATAAACATAAGGAGATGACACTCCATTTATATCAGCCTAAGCTAATTACGCCAAAGCGAGACAGATGTTCCCTTTCAGATTATGAATAACAATTCAGAGAGAATCGGAAAATTTTATTTGCTTGTGACCTAAAAATAACAAAGGGACGAAAATCATTTGGAAATTTATGTTAAAATGAATGGGATTTGTACATTGATTGATTTATTCAACGATTAATTATTTATCAATAAATGTTAAAGGGGAAAGATGTAGTTTAAAAATATTTTAAATTTATTTACATTTGTGACTACGTATATTTTGTGTTTTTTATCAAGACAAGGTATAATGGATCATTTATTAGCAGTTAGTTGATTTGTTGACCAGCAAAGTTAATTTTTGTTTTTATTGTTTTTAGTTTTTAATCTGCCAACAACCGGTTATTGTATTTTTATTTTGGTTTAAGTAGTGATTGTCGATTTCCACAACCTGTTTTTCTCAAAACCCATCACACGTTTTTATTGTACTTTTCATTGTGTCTTTTGTTTCGAATTTATGTAAAAGTATATGCTTTATGTTTTTTTGCTTTATTTAATTTGATATACAAAAATAAATTGAAGTAAATAATGTTGCGAAGTCAGTAAGTGAATTTCATTTATTAACTTATTAAATCGAAAACTGGAAGTGAAGAAAAAGCGAAAATATTGTCTTGGAAATTAGAGAGAACACGCTGCTCATGTTATTAGCAATTAGTGTTTTTCATTTTTTACTTTTGTTGCAAACGGTCGGATATTTTATTTTTATATTGGATATCGTCGAGGTTTGTGACCTGGCATTTTCCAGAACCACCTCCGCTCTACACGTTATTATTGTATTTTTCCTTCGCTGTGCTGCTGTTTTTGTATTTTTATTATTTTCTACCTAGCATTTTTCCATTTTTAATTTCCCGATTTCCTTTCATGTCACTTCACTTGAAAAATTGACTGTTGCAAAATCACTTTCATCCAAATTGGCTCCGTTTATTTCGCCCCTTGTTTAAATTAATTTCCAAATTGAATTTTTAATATGACATTCTTTAACCCTCCAAAAGAAGTCTCCAATATAAACTTTATAATATTTAGTACACATCACAGTCACACAAAAATCTCGGTCCTAAAAGTTCAAAGGTAAAGATTTTCTTCCACAGATCAATTTTTCAGTAAAGGCTTTATTATTGTGGGTGTCGATTTCATGCCCTAATATAATGAAATCGTAATGACTCAACGCCGATCATGATTGGCAACATTTTGTCGAATATCTGAACTGGCTTAATTAAAATCTTTCAAGTATTTTCGTTTAGGTGAATAATTGGCGTGTCACTGACAAGAAAAGTCGCTCCTATTGAACTGTCACGGCCGTTCTCAGTGTTCAAACGAACAACAGGATTTGTAAATAAATTGATTTTCTCCATTGTTTATTGCCTGGAGTGTCATTATTAAGCTTGATGAAAGCCGCGTTCGCTTCATATTGATCAGTTTTTTCTTGGACGTAACCTTCGAACTAGTGATCTTAACCGGAGCTGACCTATCCTTATTTCATGCAACTTGCAGCGATTAAAACTCATCGATCATCAAATTCGCTATTGTTAGTATCACCAAAATTGGTGGATGCGCCGGGTCGAGCAAACAAAAATATATTTCAAGCCAAGGTTTTTTATTCTGGTTTAAGATTTAGTACCAAAAAACGAAATTTACTTGTAAATTACATAATTTTTTAATAAATAGTTTACTGAAATTTGATTAATTGGATGGGAATTATGACAGTGTTCATTCAGATTACTAAAATAACAAATTTACACATTGTTATTATTTTGTGTTTGTATGTATCAAAATACCAATTATAACACAAAAATAAGCACTATAATTTCAATGTATCATCGGAGTAGTGAATTTTCCATTTATAATGTATACAAAATAAAAACTTTTGCGACTACAGTTTATATAGATACACTTGCAGAAAAAAGTAAATAGGTACCTTTGGCGAAAATTCCAAAAGGTGTTATATTTTTTCTTGCAATTAATTTGGTGTTAAATAGAAGCTGCAACAGTTAAACAGTAACGTTTTAATTTTTTTAATTAGATTACAAAGCAATAATTAGTTTATTCTATTGTGCGTTGGAAAGAAAGCTTAGTTCGATACCAAAACCAATGCTTTTATGAGCTATTTTAACACCGACTTGGGTGCTGAAATAAACTAGTACAATTTACTTTTAGAGGTTGGTAATGGTGATTTTCAGCGGCGATTTGAGCGATTTCTCTTTTTTCAGGTGGTGTGCATGAAATATTTGCAGTATTCAATGTTAGTTAATTCAACAAATTTTTAAAAAATACTTTCGACTTGACACTTCAAAAATCGAACTTTTAAACTTTGTGACATTTATAACCAACCACAACCTTATTAGAGCAAAACTTCCTAAATTTTAAAAAATTGACTTTTATATTAAAAAAGTGCGTAAAACACGCAAAATAGAAAAATAGCATACAAAACTTGACTCATAAGTCATTTGTTCAAACACGTTCTTTATAAGACTTGCCTTGCCCTTCGCTGCTCGTTTCATAAACCTAAACTCGTTCCACAAAACTAAACGCGTTCTTTAATATACTATTTTCTATTTCAGTGTCACAATGAAAATTTTGTGTAACTGAAAATAACAGTTGCCCAAAATGACTTGATTGTGTAGTGCATTTTAATATTTAAATGTATGAAATTTGTTGCTAATTCTCTATTCATCTAAACAAAATTTTGTCGACGTTTGGTTTCACCGCTGAAACGAGGTTTATAATTAAGCGCAGTTTAAACGCCAAATGAGAAATCACCCTCAAGTCATATTATGAAATCGCAATCGGCAATATGTAATAATCGACATCCATGCATCAATCATAGAAACTGGCGTTTAAACACGCATGGCGATTCCCTGAGGACTTTTTCGTTGAAATCCCATTCTGATGCAGCAGTAATTCAAGATCAGTTTCTGCTGCCATTTTGGCGTTCATTTCAAGAACGTCTAAGTAAGCTCACAGCCGGAGGCAGATTCTACTTGATTTATTCGAGTAGAGAAAAACGTTTACCATCAGTCAGCGTCGACGCTGACGAGGGAACGTCAGTTTTTGATCGAAATTTTGTTAAGTCTGTTGTTGTAGTCGCATCAGACACCATCGTTTATAATTACAGTGGTATACATCAACTAAACTCAAAACAAACTTTAAGCAACTTGAATCCCACATGAATTTAGAAACGTATACAACCGCAAGAAACTACATAAGATCTGTGAGGAAACTGGTCGAGAACATTTTAACAAAGGATAATTATACAGGGGGATTTTTATAACGCTAAACATAAAATGTTAATAGCTAGTCCCATGTTTACATACATTTTTTTGCATGTCTAAGAAGCAATTTAAACCTAAATCGTGTTTTTTTGATTTGATAAAATTTTTGCTTAATACTTTTATTTTGTATTTTAATTGTTTTTTTAATTTTGTTTCTTTCAAAATGTAGACAGGCACCTACAGATTATACAGCGTCAGTCACAGGAGAGTTACTTTGAAAATTAATTAGTTTGCAACCAAAAATATCTTTAGCATATGTAAGCTAATGTTCTGACAATAATAGCTGCATTTTCTATTGTGCTATCAATCACAATTCGTGCTTCAAATCTTGCTTTAACTGGAAATAATATTTTATTTAAATTAATTCAGTAATCAATGTGAGCTGGATGAAAATGAGTGAAGTCGTCAAAATGACAAGTAATTGTCTACTGCTTCAAGGACTCTAATTTGATTTTTTGGGCCAGTAACAGTCCTCTGACGGGGTCTTCTATTGGGGACCAATCTTGTCGTAACTTGGCTTCGATTCGATTCGATTTGGATACCTCTCCAAGTACAGAGCTCCTGCTGCAGGAGCATTTTTCTTGCATTCTCTATGGATTAAGAGCATGCTCACTTTTTGGTTATTTGTGTAAAAATACATTGTGTTAACGAAAATTGGCTGTAACCTTTTAAATGTCAAATTGAAAAATATGCAAAGTATTCTTGGATTCAATTTTATAATTTTTAAAAATGAGGAAGCTAGACGCCTATGTGAATTGTATAATACGTTGCTGCCCAAATTATTTCAAAAGTAACTCTCCTGTGACTAACCCTGTATG